AACTATAAAAAGGGGAGACAACCGTACTTCCACGGATTCCACCTTTTGGGTCCCCTTCTTCCTCCGGGAGAAGTCTTTTCTTCTGTCCTTTAATAAATTTCTAATCTCTACTCTGGCCTTGCCTCGGCGTGCTTCTTTGGTGTTATTCTTCAACATCAGGGAGCAAGGACTCGTCACCGGTCAACAGCGGTAACAAAACTACACATGCTCCACACCAAACCACTGCCAAATTTGCTCGGCTCACGGCTCCCGGCAGAGTAAGGAACCCATCTTTCTTTCACCCATTCCACCTCACATCAGCAAGTGCTCCTGGCTGTTGTTCCAATCGGACCTCAATTCCTACCACTACCCAGGACCCCTCCACCAGGCTCTTCCAAGGACCTCCCCAGCACAAGTCCGTGGGGTCAGCGCGCCCTGCCCTTCCGTCCGGCTGGGTGGGCCGCAGGGAGCTGGCCTCCCAGCGCTTGCCTGGGAGGACCTGGTGTCTCCGTTTCCACCCTTACGCTCCCGCCCGTTCACAACCAGTAGCCAAAGGGATCTTTTCAAAACCTAAGACTCGGCCCACCGATTCTTCTTCCTCGGCGACCCGCTGTTCCTAAACACAGTGCACCCGGCGCGGCTGCGGCTCCCCACTGTGGGCTCCCTAGGCCTCCCTGGGCGGCAAGTCCCGGCGGGCCTCAGGGCCTCTGCACCTGTTTCCTGGGAAAGCGTTTCTCTTTCCTGTCACCCTAGTGCTCGCTGGCTCACCCATACATGCCTTCGTCTTCCTTCAGGTGCTGCCTACCACAAGCGAGCACACGTGCACATGCGCCGTCGTCACTCGACCACGTGGCCGAGAGGTGTCGCCTCCCGCCGCACCCCAGGCCGGCGTTCAGGTCGGCGCGCTGGCTCTGCGCAGGCGCGGCGCACCACGAGCCGCCCGCTCCGACTACAACTCCCAGAGACTACAATTCCCAGCGGGCAGCGGGGCGCTGGCTCGCGCAGGCCGCCGTGTTGGGCGGCAGCGGAAAGATGGCGGACGTGGCCGTGGGCAAGGACAAGTGCGGGGAGCAGCGGCTCGTGTCGCTGCCCCTGTCCCGCATCCGGGTCATCATGAAGAGCTCCCCCGAGGTGTCCAGCATCAACCAGGAAGCACTGGTGCTCACGGCCAAAGCCACGGTGAGGCGGAGTGAGGGGCGGGCGCCCTTAACCGTCCGCCCCGCTGGGCCCCGCGGCACTTCCGGGTCTCCTGCGGCCTCGGTCTCTCGCGCCCCGCTTCCTGCCTTCGCCAGCGCGCGCTCTAGCGTCCGAGCTGTCCCGCCATCCCCTGCGTGCCCTCACCACGCCCCCGGCCCTCCTGCTCGCCGCACCCCCTTCCGCTCCCGTCGTGCCCTGCGCTCCTGCCGTCCCGCCCCCGCCGCGCCCTGCGTTCCCGCGCCCTCCACGGTTTCCCGGTCCCTGCGTGCCTAGAGTTGAAYGTGCGGACCGTCGCGGGTGTCTACCACCCCTTGCCCGGCCCCCAAGGCTCTCCTTGTCCACGCCTAGGCGAGAGGGTCGGGTCGGCGACGCGTGCGGCCCCCCCGCCCCTCCGGGGCCCTGAGCGASGAGCGCGGACCACAGCCTTCCCGTTCCCAGGCTGGGCCGCGTTTAAGTCTCACGGCTAATTGCTTCAACTGTCTTAGGCGGCTTCCAGCCTCACTAACTCGGTGCGTGGTGTTTGGCGGTGAAGGTGGGCTGGGGGCGAGGAAGCGGAGGTCGGGGTTTTCCCCGTCGTGCCAGAGCTGTGCGTTTTTAGAGCCCAACAAAATAGACATCGCTGGGTGTTCTTGTGAGGTGGCTCTCAAGATCTCCAGACACCAGAGGCCTGGGTGCTCGGCCCCAGGTAGGAAACGGTGTGGTACTCACATAAAAACCATCACCTCCTTCTGTATACTTTGAAACCTGTAAACCACAGGGCAACTGCGATTGCATGTTCCCGTGAGATCTTGGGACTTTCATGTCTTCCGGTTCAGTTTCATGGTTAGTAATAAGGAACTTAGTTATGCAGTCACCTCTGTAATTTATTACTAACTGGACTGATGGATTAAAGTGTGACCTTTGAGGAAAAAAGTCTCAGGTTGTTGATTTAAGGTGGCTTGAGGATTGTGGGTTAGTTCCCAACATAAAAGACGTGTTTGGGCAACACAGGATATGTCCATTTTTAGCTCCGAGTGCTTGATTCTATCTTTGCACAAGGGATTCAAATAGGAAGATAAAAATGTGTTCCTAATGCACAACTGTAAGAATGGAATCCTAACTAGAACGTCATGCTACATGTATGTATGTCAAAATACACTATGCTCTCATGTATATCTAAAAAGTACAACAAAACCGTGATTATAGATGGACATGGTGGCACTCACCTATAATCTCAGGTACTCCCAAAGCTGAAGCAGGAGAATGGCAAGTTCAAGACCAGCCTGGGCAGTTCATTCAGACCCTTTCTCAAAAAGGATTAGGAGTGTCGGTGTAGACCTTTGCTTGTGCAAGGCCCAGGCATTCCTAAGTTGTATTAGTGTTTTTTTGGCTGTTTTGGGAATTGAACCCAGAGCCACCTGCATGCTAGACAAGCACTCCACCCTATATAGAGTTTTTTTTTTTTAAGAGAGAGTGAGAGAGGAGAGAGAATTTTTAATATTTATTTTTTAGTTCTCGGCGGACACAACATCTTTGTTGGTATGTGGTGCCGAGGATCGAACCCGGGCCGCACGCATGCCAGGCGAGCGCTACCGCTTGAGCCACATCCCCAGCCCCCTATATAGAGTTTTTGAGTAGTCTGTTGCTACCTATTTTTACTGAAGAGATTGAGGCAGGAGGGTTGCGTGTTCAAAGCCAGCCTCAACAATGACAAGGCGCTAAGCAACGCAGTAAGACCCTGTCTCTAAATAAAATACGAAATAGGGCTGGGATGTGGCTCAGTGGTCTAATGTCCCTGAGTTCAATCCCCAGTACACCCCACCCCCCACCAGAATAAAGAAAGTCCTATGATTTTAAAAGCACACTTTGTTTCATTTTATTTTAGGAGCTCTTTGTTCAGTACCTAGCCACCTATTCCTACAGACATGGCAGTGGAAAAGAAAAGAAAGCACTGACTTACAATGACTTAGCGAATACTGCAGAGGAATCGGACACTTTTCAGTTTCTTGCAGGTACTTAATCTCTGAAACATCTGGTTAAAGGATCCCTAATCATTAATCTTTTGTTGTTTTAACCCTGGTTCTGCTTGCAGTGAATTAGATTAGATCCTTTGCTGCTTTCTTCACGAGCCACAGTTTATCATGATCTGGCACAGGGAGATATTTCTAGTCCTTTATGTTTGAAGACTACACATTTTTAAAAAACATTTTTTAGTTATACATGGACACAATATCTTTATTTTGTTTATTCATTTTTATGTGATGTTGAGGATCGAACCCAGTGCCTCACATGTGTGAGGCAAGCATTCTGCCACTGAGCCACAACCCCAGCCCCCTAAAGACTACACATTTTTGTTGCGAAATTTGTTTGTCCACCTAGAACAGTAATGAAGTCAATAAATGGGGAAGATGGTTTGCTGGGTAGACCCTCAACCCCTGCCACTGAAAGGAAACTCAAAAACAGAAACTAATGCTTGCTTCTATGGAAGAGGCCCTAGCTAAAAAAAAAAGCTTGAGTCTGCCCTTGGTCTAGCTTTGCCCATCTACGGTAGGTTGGGCAGGGTTGCTCACAAAACCAGCACATAGAAACAGCATGGTTTACCTGGGCACGGTGGCACACACCTGTAATTCCAGAGGCTCCAGAGGCTGAGACAGTAGGATCGTGAGTTCAAAGCCAGCCTCTCAGCAAAAGCCAGGCACTAAGGAACTCAGTGAGACCCTGTCTCTAAGTATACAAAATAGGGTTGGGGATGTGGCTCAGGGGTTGAGTGTCCTGATCCAATCCCCAGTTACTGCTCCCCCCTACCAAAAGAAAAACAGTATGGTTTGCTGCTGGAGGAGTGGGAACAGGTCTGTAGCATTGCTAGTTTCCCTGATGATTTATTTCATCTTGTTTTGGAACCTGTTCTAGAGGTCAAAATAGGAACCAGTTTCTTTGATTTCAGTTTGTACTGTTCTATTCATAGTTTATCATAACCAGTTGCTGATGTCAGCTTTATGTTTTTAAGATATATTACCAAAGAAGATTTTAGCTAGTAAGTACCTGAAAATGCTTAAAGAGAAGAAGGAGGAGGATGAGGACGATGAAGGAAGTGACGATGATGAAGCGGAGTCCTAGACCAAGGAAGAAGGCTTCTAGAAATCACCTGGCCAGGACCCTCCTTGGTGACCCTCTTGATCTGAAGCAATCAAATCACCATGTGGCTTTGGTCTCCCTTTCCAGAAATTTCCAGTATAGCATATTCCTTCATGACTAAAACTGAGCATCTCCTGCATCTACACCATGAAGAGCTGAAGGGAAAATARTGCAACTGCGGTCTGACAGGCCACCCTGCAGCTGAAACCACTGTCCTTTCCTTTGAACTTGCAGACAGATTCTGACAAGCTTCTGGATAAGCTGTRGAYTTATGATTTATATTCTGAAATTCTTATAAGAACTGGATTTAGTTTCAGCTAAATATGTAGTTTATAGTCATAAGCTTCCTTTCAGTTATGTATTTTTATAAAATTTGACTATTTGTTCAAATTTTATTTTTTTATTGTAAAGAAATATACTTTTTCTTTTCTATTAAGCTCTGTACATATTTTTACAGTAATGTGCTTTGTGGAACTAGTTTTAGGACTCATTTGTTCTAATCCTTTGCTTACTACCTGAAAGTTTTGTAAAATTTAAAAGCAGGCATTTCTTTATGGGGCTGTGGCTCAGAACCAAAAAACAAAATCCCACTTTTATTCCCAAAGGTAAACTCCCAGATTATCAAATGAAATGCAGAAACACTGCCTCTGCCTTGGTATACTGTCCTTATAACCTACATCCAGTAAAATCGCCCTTTTTGGTTTCAAGTGTATTAATTTTGACAAATGTATGATTTGGGGGATATTATTTAAGACAGGGTCTCATGTTGGCCAGGCTGGCCTTGAACTAGCAGCTGGAACTGTGGGCACCTACCACTGTACCAGCCACAAATGCAGATTTGTAGCCAGTCAATACACAGGATAGTTCCATCACCCAAAGGCTTACCCTGTGCTGCCTATAGTTGGTCTATCCCCTACTCTCTGTACCCTCTGGCAACAACTGACATTTCTGTGCCCACCCCCTTTTTTGGTACCAAGGGCACTCAACTGCTGAGCCACATCCCCAGCCCTGTTTTTATATTTTATTTAGAGACAGGTCTCACTGAGTTGCTCTGCACCTAGTTGTTGAGGCAGGCTTTGAACTTGCAATCCTTCTACCTCAGCCTCCTGAGCCACTGGGATTACAGGCATGTGCCCCCACACCCGGCTCCTCATGTTTTAAGTATTTAGAAATCCACTTCTGTCGAGTAACCATCAGAGTTAAGACACAACACTTCTGTCACCCTCTGGACAATGCCCTCCTGGTCAATCCACCACTTTACCCTTGCAGCCTCTGAGCTGTTTCCAGTTGAAAACTTCTGGAAAAGGCCGATAGCCACTGCTCAGCTCTGTTATTATAGTACGAAAGCAGCCAGAGATAATATGTTAAATGGAAAATAATTAATGACTATTTCTGGACCCTGAAATATGAATTTTCTATAATTTTCACGTGTCATGAACTATTTGGATTTTCTTTAACCATTTAAAAATGTAGGCTGGGTGTGGTGGCACATGCCTATAATCTCCATAGCTCCAGAAGCTGAGGCAGGAGGATTGTGAGTTCAAAGCCAGCCTCAGCAACTTAGTGAGGCCCTCAGTAACTCGGTGAGACCCTGTGTCTAAATAAAACACAAAAACAGGCAGGAGATGTGGCTCAGTGGTTAAACACCCCTGGATTCATTCCCCGGTACCAAAAAGTAAATAATTACATACTATATAAAAGGTTTCATCCTCATCTCTACAGCCTCCTTCCTCCTATCAAAGTAATTTCATGAAGATTAACACCTTTTTTGTCATTAGTGGAAATGGAATTGAAATTCCAGACTAGACTTTTCATTGAACCATGCAGCTTAAGAAGTAGCGTTTCCACAATCGGGAAGGTTCTCAGTTTAACATTCAAGGCCCATGAGACTGATCTCACTCTATTGTAGAACTTTTCTCCATTGACTTTCATTTCCTGCCGATACAGGCTGCTTATCCAAATAGAGCAAAAATGTCCACATGCAAGGAGTTCTTTGGAATCCTTTCCAAATTCATTTAACATTAACCATCATGCACTGCTTTTACATTTAGGTCGCTCCAATCAGATTGTGACTGCCTCTAGCCATTCAATAAATGACAGTGAACAAGAGATTTTAATAGGTCAGGCCATAGTAAGTATATTGTAGATTGTGGGGCGCCACCCGGAATGCCCCACACCTTCCAGTCCTGAAGCATAAGGCTCTGACCGATCACTACATTTCTTACAGCTCAGATGATAGCAAGATGGGTCTTCAGGTGTGTCACCCTGAGATTGAGTTTTACTCACCTGTCCCTTGTAACCCTGCCCCGTCTGTCCTTTTTTGGATAGAACTTTCTAAATAATAAGAGTCCCCCCAATAAAAGCCCAATTCCAAACGTGCTCGCTCTCGCCAGCCTCTTTCTCTTGCTCTCCCTTTTGGGGAGCTTGAGGCTGAGAGTAGAGATGCTGGCCTGAAGCTTGTGTAAAGGTAATTTGTGTTTGTTTTATTTGGTGTCCCTGCAAACTCTCTCAAGTTCAGCTGCCTGTGCAGGTCGGGGCCGCATAGATCTCTTGTCAGTTTGAGTATTCTTTGGATTTTGACTAACATGTTCCAGGGCTGGTGGGCACAAAGGTATTTTGTGGCTTTCTTCTTTTGGGTGGTACTAGGATTGAACCAAGGGTGTTCTACTACTGGGCTATGCCGCCAGGCCATTTTGAGACAGGATCTGACTAAGTTGTCCATGCTAGACTTGAACTTGTGATCCTCCTGCCACAATCTCCCAAGTTGCTGGGGTTACAGGTGTATACCACCATGCCCAGATGTAGTTTTTTTTTTTTACATTTAAGTAGTAGTAGTACAGGGTTCTAGATACGTTAAGAAATCACTACATCTTGACTTTGTTAAAATAAGTAAATAAATAAGAAAAAGGAGACCAGAATGTCAAAAGTAATAATTAATTCAATAATGGATTATGGTAACTTAAATGACAAGATATGGCTTGTGGGCTGGGGCCTGGGTTCAGAGGTGGAGCACTTGTCTGGTACATGTAAAGCCCTGGATTTGATCCTCAGCACGACATAAAATTAAATAAAGGTCTAAAATAAAGTCTACCCACAACTAAAAATATTAAAAAAAAAAAAAAAACAAACAAAAAACTCAGTGGCCTGCTTTAGCAAAGCATATATCCTAGGGATTTTCAGCTGTTGGCTTTCTTAATCCAACCCTCTTTTCCTGTTCTCCTAGCACCACCTATTCTTCAGTATAGACAGAAGAAGTCAAAAACAGCCCAGAATGAGACCACCAGGAATTTCAGAGCAGCATGGAGGTGTGTGAACAGCCAGGGTGAGGGGTAAAGGGACTTACCAGCAAGAAACAAGGACAGTTTGGGCCCCTTCACTTTGTCCTTCCTCCCTGGCTGCTGGTGTGGGACCACGTAGGTTTCCTGCATGCTGCGTTCACCCTCAGTCCTGTCCCGCTCAGGTCCTCAGGTAATGCTTGGCTCTGCCAAGTCCATTTATCAAGGAAGAGCCCCCACAAACTGTGTAAGAGGGCTCTGGACTTCCTCCCTCAAGGCCTGCAATGACCTTGAAATCGGACTCAGCACCTGTGCGCAAGGCAGCGCCCACAGACAGACTTCGTGAATAACTGGAGATTGTTGGAAGAGGCAGCTGTAAATACGAGGAATTTTATTTTAATTTTTGCTGACATACTATGAGGCAAAACAAAATCGACACCATACAAAATAACTTTATAAAATATCATTCACATCATATTTTATCAGATTTACAGCATTCTGTGCATGTTAGGGGTTATGTAAGGAGGTGAAAAAACACTATGCCAAACTTTTAATATTAGTTTATATACACACAGTAAGAAACAAAACAAGTAACTGTTAGGTTTTTCCATGAATTTATTGCAAAAATAGTGCAAACTACTTAACCTAGTAAGCTGTAAAAACAAACTTGAAAGGACCCAGCTAAGCTTAAACACAACAGGTGCTCAGTGTCTCAGCATTTAGCTTTCTTCACCAGTTTGTCTTGTCCATCCAGACCACCCCCACCAGTTCAGCCTGGGGTGAGTGCAGGGGAATGAAGAAAGGCGCAGGCTGGCTCCTCAGAGGCCAGGCCGACCAGCTGCTGCCACCAGCAGCACTGTAGGGTCACGCACTTGCCCAATGGCAATGACTCTATGAGGTCTGTGTTGAAAAACTAAAATGCCATGGTTTTCAACTTTGAGCTTAGAAATAAGGTCTCCAGCCTCTGATGACATGGAGAAGGGAATCGAGAGCAGCATGAACAGAAAGGATCCGCCACATTGCTGTCTGCCATGAACGTCGCACCCTTTCCTCAGGAGTGTCTGGGTACGGTACTCTAATGCAGGGCAACCTCTGAATCAGACATTGCAGTACGTTAAAAAAGGATACTATACCTCGACAAGAGAAACTTTGAATTTTCTTTCAACAGTCTATTGGGGTCCAAAAAGCATATATCTAAACAAAATAACCAAAGCAAGACAAAATGCTACATGTAAAAGCTAAAGAAACAAAAATGCAGCATATGCAGGTTCTTTTTCTTGAGGTACCTATATAGATTTTAATCACCCCCCACCCCCGCCCCCAAGTACTCTTGTTAGGGGAAAACAAAATGCTTCCTGGCGAGCCAATTGTAGGGCATTTATTATTACCGAGAAAGTGCAACAACTCTGATCTTTATATGCAGCATACTAAAGGATGATTTACTCTTTATAAAATATAGCTTATGTATCAACCTGATGGAAGTTAAAAAATTAAAAAACATTTAAACTAGAATTATTATCTTTTTTTTTTTTTGAGGTCCTACAGCAAAAAGCCTCCCAAATCAACTTTCAAAGTTTTGCCACTAAGGAATGTTGGTTCTCTTGTAAAATTCAGAGATCTCCTTAAAATAGTAAAACTATATACTACAGGAAAGATCCCTAACTTTTATTTCTTATTGTTATAAAATCAAATTCTTAAGATTCCAAAATATTGTGTTACCTCCAAAGAATTAAAAAAGATTGCCACAGTAGGAAAAGTCTAGAATTGTAAACTGCCAAATATAAAAGTGGAAAGTCATCGATCTCCTATCTGATTTTCTTACTCATCAGGAAGCCTTCTTAACTTTGGAAACCTGCCTCCAGACAGCTGTGAGCCCACCCTTCCTCTGCTCCTGGTCGTCAGCACCTGCACTGGGTGGGCCAGGAGATGGACCAGCAGCAGTCCATCTGCTGCTCATGAAGAAGCTCTTAGAGAATTCGCCAGAGGAAGAGGGGCATGAATGGCTACACAGCGATGAAGAAAGTACTTATGATTTTTTTTTTTTTTGGCCGCCCCTTCATTGGCACAGAAAATGAAGTGATAGCTTTAAATATATGCATAGAAGAATTTGGAATTTTTTAAACGGTAAATTTGCTTTTAGACATAATTTTTTCCCCTTCCACAAGAGGGTAGTTGGGATTCTGATGTACTGCAGCAGTTGGCTGGGAATCTATCAAATTCCATGGCCAATTGGGCTCTTCTCCCCATCTGCAATGTAATTCTATACTGATTTTTCAAATGCATTAGGGTTCAACATAAAAGGCACAAAATAAATAAAAATATTATTAAAAAAACGGAAACTGTGATTTCAAGTTTCATGTGGAGTCAACATCTCACTGTTTGGTTACTTTTTCCAATTTAATTTGACAGACTTAGTAATAGCACCCAACTGTTTAACTGAGGTAGATCCACATTGTAAAGAAAGCTGGGTCCCCTCTATTTTATCTCTAAACTGAAGATGCTTTTACAAAACATAAATCCGTTTCAATCATATGCAGAAGCAATGACAGGTGGCACTACCTGAAGAAAGCTTATAGAACATGAGCAGGTTTGCAAGTAAGACCTACACCCAAATCGTACTCTCCAGTAGTATAAATAAATCTCAGACTGGAGGGGAAAAATCAAACATTTAAAAAACAACCCTGAAAAAGTCTCTAGACTTTCAGAACAGGTCTTTTGGACTGACTGCCACAGAAATGAACAACGGTCCATTTTCATCAAACAAGGGCAATAGCTAAGCCAGACCAGAGAGAATGCAGGGATGGGTTAGGGTAGGGTGGGGTGGGGAGGGTGGTAATTACTAGATGCTTCCCTTTTTAACTTCAGAGAAAAACATTTGTTTATTTATGATATAGTGTATTGATTGGAACAGTTTAAACTCACTCTGCCTATCATTTTTGCATACTCTGAATCTCACAAATTTAGTATCTAATTAAGGCTTAATTTAAAGTGGCATTACCGCCTAGCATCACGCAAACACTGGACACCCTCATGACACACAGAATGGTATCAAACCAAAGATAATGACATGAAGCCTCAGACTGGATTTAGCAGGTACTATAATTTTATAATTAATTATACAATCCATGTAGCAAATGAAAAATTATACAGAGAGGCCGACGTATATAAATAATGGTGTTTATACAGGAACTGTCAATTTACAAAACAGCACTGCATGGTTTCCATATTGCAAGCACAAGACATGTTCACGCAGATCCACCRTGCAGGGACGACCGAGTCCAGGACAATACATGGAGTACTACCTGAAGTGAGGCCCTTTAGCTGCTCGACTTCTTAGAAAACAGTAAACTTCAAATGGTCATAATACATTTTGATTCAAAATGTCTTCTATAATGTGTTACTATTGGGTAAAATTAAGAAGGGGCAAGATCCATTATGGGACTTTTGAATTCATTTTTGGTTCTTTTTCAATTATTTTATAAAAATAAAATAAAACTAGAAAAATTGATAAAACTAAGGGCTAAAGCCCCTCAATACATATTAGGCAAGTGATCTTGAAGTGTACCGGAGGTAAGGAAAATCTGGATTTAGATACTACATTCTCTGCTTATATTTAATGAGCTCTTAGCCACTTTGCTGCACAGAAACTTACAATTATTCTCTTAAAACTTTTTTAAAAATAAAAAACTCACTTGCCTCTACAGTTATAAAACATGAATTCATACCTTTAACAACTATTAAAATCCACTATCAAACTCAGGACTTGAATTTCAGTTGAATGCTAAACTACATACTTTAGAATCTTAGTCACATGGGTCTATTTGGCTTTGAAGAGGAACCAGAATTGTTAATGAATCACCCTCTCTGCAGCCAGTGACTCTGCCAAGGGAAAGGCCTTTTCCATATATTTAAAAAATAAACACGATGGATTCTGTCTCCAACCAAAACCCACAAGGTCATCCCTTGACAGGGACGGGTGGTTTTCAATTAGACCACTGACCAAGAAGCTGCTCAATACCTGGCTTGGAAAAGCTAGAGATGAAACTGCTCCTGGAAGCGGAGCCCTCTGTGCACAGCTCAGGTGACACCAGGCCCAAGTAAATGGCGTCCCCGAAAGTCACAAAACAGCAACAACAAGAACAGAAGGACTTAAGAGCACCTTACGTCTGAGGACGTCACACACATTCACAAACACATGATTCCAACTCCTGTTTCAACAATCTACTTCCATTACAACAGACATTCTTGCTGAGTCACTAAGGGAACAAAACCATCAGGCTTTGCTGATGGTCACGGTCAAGGCCTGACTAAGAGGTGGTCACACCAGTCTCCTAAAACCGCAGCAGAAGTGTGCTCCTCAGGGCGTAGGAGACGCTGGGGATGGGATGGCACCAGCAGCACCCGTGGGCCACCTGCAGTGGTAGCCAGCCCACATCAGGTTGTAGCCTGGGGCTGAGGGTGGCAGCGCAGTAGCTGACTTGTCAGATGGCTCAGGCTTGCTCCCACTACAAACACAGCCCCAACACCACTCCAAAAGGACACTGAGAACCAGACTTCAAAGGCACAGAGTCTGGGACTGAGTTTCCAGACCCGGGTAGAGACCGGAGGAAGACCTGGGGCCACCTGCCTCTTGGGTGGGGGCCTGCCCCACTCCGCCCTTCAGACTGTTCTCACAATCTCCCGGGTACCAAGGAGCCTTGGTCCTGTGCACACAGCTGGCTCTGCCGGGCAGCCTGCATCACACCCTGCCCGCTGCCAATGGGTGGCGCAGGTGTTGTTGTGATCAACTCACTGGTTTTAAGGACCTTGAAATTACAGAAAGAATGAGAAGAGTTAATATTTGGTGTTTCAGCTTTAACTCAGAACTATCTAAATCCAAGGAGGTTTTAAATGGGAGATAATCCAGCTTCCTTTCACTGCCCCCAATAAAAGGGAGAGGGACAATGTGAGGATTTAACCCCCCAGTCACACCACCAAGGGCTCTAGAGACCTAACATATCTGAATTTCTCACCGTAACCAATAAGAAAAGTGTCAGCAAAAGCACCAGTGGTCCTCAGTGCCTTCCTTCAGAATAAGCTTTCCCCCACACCTGGAGTGGGAGAAGCCACCTCTGTCTCCTGGAGTCACGTGCAGAGGCAGGCAGACAGATCCAAGTGCAGCGGGGGCTGGGGCTGTGCATTTCTCTCAAATGCCCTGCACTGGACTCTGGCTAAAAACCCAAGGCCAACACAGAGGAGTCAAGCAGCCAAGGAGGCCAGTCAGGGACGTCACTGGCACCCAACCTAAACACCCATGCTTCCTGGGGTAGAGAACAGTGTGAGGGCAGGATCCAAACATTCTTAGACTGTGAAGGACACTTAGCTCTTTCAGAATCGAAGCACCCCAGATGGCCCGAACCCCATCCCACCCCAACCACAGTGTTACAGGCAGCTTCTCCAGGGAATGATGTATCAGGCCACTCAGGGCCAAAGCCACAGGAAGCACAGAGCCATCTCCACACCAGACACACACAGTGGTGAACCTGTCACCTGTCCCTCAAGAATTCCAAATCCAACCAATGGAGGAGGGGCTTTGGAGTGACTGCAAAGCTCCAAGACCAGAGACCATGAGGAACCTATAGAAAGAAGCGAGGCAGGCCAGGGACGAGACAGACCCACAGTGCAGGGCGTGGGGACGACACTGCTGAGAGCAGAGTGGGTCCTCACTGAGGGCTACTCAGAGGAACTGGCGCTCTGGGGCCAGACTTCCTGCAAGACAGCATGTTATCATCCCCAGGGTGGGTGGCAGGACCTTCCACTCGAGCTATGGTCTTCTCAAAGGACCCTGGGTTGGAAGAGATCATTTTACTCTTAACCCTTAGTTCCTTTATAAATGGGGAGTGACAGAAATTCAGGATCCCGCCCTCTTTTGAAACTCTGCAACTATCTCAAAAGTATCTCTTAAAAAAGAGAGCCGGTGTTAAAGCACCTTGGTGACTTTAGAGAGTGAGACTGGAGAGGAGAGCAGGCGGGGGAAGCCATTGTTTACCCATTTATAAGCAAGCAGAAAAAACAAGGGCTGCTTCCCTTCAACAGGAAAGCACAGGAGGCAGGACAGAGCACCCCGGGCTCCATCGCGCGTGCCCTGCAGGGTGCTCCTCACGGCCTGGCAGAAGGCACTCCAACTGCGCAGGGAAGCCCTTCATTCCCTTTACACCTGGCCTCCCAGAGCACTAGACCCTCGCAGCTGGACAGCGCYGAGAAGTCCCTGGTCCACTGCCACAGCAGAGGATGGGGGGCTGCTGCCCTGGTCACAGTATGGCACACACATTTTCAAGCCAGAACTGAACAGAGAGATGTTCCAAATTCAGTTTACTCAGGCAACATTTTGGCTATTTTCAGTGTGGATAGCTACACTTAAGAGCAAATAAGAATCTACTGAGATTTCAGAGGTAGCTTTTTATCTGTATCTGTTTTAACTAAAAGGTATTTAGAAACCACCTTCTGTTAGTGACTTGGCTAAGCCAATACATTCACTTGAGACAATAAAATGGCAGGACACATCCACAGAAGCAAAGTGGGGGCAACATGATGGCACTGATGACACACACACACACACACACACACACRCACGCACGCACGCACGCACGACCTGTTTGGGTTTGAAAGCTCCTTTCTGTATCTGATACTGGGAAGCCTGACCACAGACACAGTTATACATGGCGGCTGGAACATGTCCCTTGCATCCAGCAGAACACAATGTATGAGCAAGCACTGACTGGGCTTCGGGTCTCTCTGGCATTAATGGATACAGCCACAAATGACAGTCTGACATGACAGTACCCTTGTGGCTTTAAACAGACAGCTGGCCAAAGAGATGCAAGAGAGGCCCCCGTGGTCTGCTAATACGGGCCATGCAGATGCTTCTGCCCAAACTGTCAAAGGCTGGATGGAACAACAAGGAAGTACTTTGGGGAGCCATGACAAACAACAAAAAACTGAACAGACCAAGAAGTGTCCCAAAGGTTTACAGTCAGTCCTCTTGAGTTTGACTCTGCAGCCATCAGGAAAGCAGACGGAAACTTCCTGTCAGAGACACGAGAAAAGGAGGCTTGTCTGTCCTTCATGAATGGTCAAGACACGAGGCTAACGAGCAGGAAGCAGGGCAGAGGCCAGTCTGCACCACCCTAACACACCACACTGAGACGTGAAGCCAAGCAGCGTCCATCCTGTCTTCACATCATTTCTGCTACTACGAGTCTATTTACAATCATTTCAAACAAGTACAGCAGATGCAAAGTTGGACACAATAAAAAGAAGTTGTCAAAAAATCAGTGCAATTACTTGAGCTGAAAAATTTTCCTTACAAAAGCGTCAACATGCATGTAACAGGGACACCCCCCGTGACAGAGTCACATGTGCACTGTGTCCACATGGAAACACGTCACAGCAAAGAGACTGCTGGCATGGCAGCTGGAGAAGGGAGGGCTTGAAGTATAAATAAAACATGTGCATTCTGCAGGGGAGGCCTGTGAACACTGACGAGGATCTGTTTCTACTTATTATACATTCCTTTTCTCATGAGCACAGAGATGAGTCAAAGAGAGGTCACAGGGGAGCTTCTTATGGCTTGTTGGGGCCACTGGGATTGTCCACTGTCTAATTAGGTCAGCGTCTAAAGCACCTCCTAATGGAGCTGCCATAGGTGCAGGAGAATGCCCGTGAAGTCCCTTGGACCTGCCTGCCAGACCAGAGCCGCACTGAAAGGCCCACCCACTTCCCGGGGCCCCTGCAACAAGCTGAGTGCTACCACGACCCTGGGCAGCCAGGAGCGGCCACCAACCCCCAGAGGCCCCTGACCCTCTGGTGTCCCACTGCATGGCACATGGCTGGTGTGCCCTTGACATATTGTATCAAATATATAATTTGACTGAAAAACTGCCTTGTAAAAATAAAATTTAAACCACCCGGCAGATCAATGTGAAAGCACACTGCTGCGTATATTAAAAAAACAATTCATCCAGAAAAACTACATTTGTGGCTTTCAAAAATAAAATCATCCAGCAACCTTGAAGGTAAACATTAGGTCATTTATAAAAGTTGGGGAAAATCATTTCTACCATATCAGGTACCATGCACTGGAATACCCACATCAGCCAAATCAAACCAGAGCAGAAAGGAAAAAAATAAAAAATAAATAGCAATATTTGCATTTAACAACAATAAAAACAACATACAACAATAAAACTCCCCCAATCCCGAATCCCGCTGCAGGAACTGAACCTAAATGTTTTTTCTAAAGAGCACTCAGCAATGGGGCAAGCAGGGCCCAGAGCACCAGCTTGCTCGCTGCGAGCAGCCACGCCTGCCCTGGGGAAGGGGGTGGGGGCAGGCAGCAGGAGGCTTGGACCCTCCGGCCAGGGCCACCTGGTGATATGGAGAAGACCAAGCAGACCCTAGAATGGATGCCAGAAAGTGTGTACACAGACTTCTCCGTAGGAAACCCAGGCCGAGAGCAAGCGACCCCTTTCTAAAAGCACAGACACACCCACCCAGTCATACAAAGTTTTTCTGAGCAAGGAATCTGAGCTCACAACCACCAAGTGACAGGATGGTATCTTTGCTAATGTCACAGGGGGCTCTCCTTTAAATGGTCTCCTGGGCCTTGCATCACTTACTATCACAGGGAGGAGCTGCTGAGCATGAGAGAGAGTGGTAAACGGGAGTTCACTAATGGTTTTTAAAAAGTGAGTGTTTTAAAGTATACTAGGAAGAGTCCCAGGAAGAATCATTGTTAATTGGCAGGCCTCTTCTAAAGAGATAAATCCCAGTTTTCCTTTTAGATGAATCCAGATTTCTACACTGTCATCTTCACATTCAGTTTGCTTAAAGCAAGGCACACCTTACTTAACAGTGGGGTGGGGACAAAGCCAGCGACTGAGCGGTCAGCCCTCAAATTTGAACATAAGCATAGGAGCCCCAGGGGCAAGGAGCCACCTGGGAGCCAGCTTCCTTGGGCACGAGTGTGGGCAGAGGTGGAGGGGCACCGCTCCTGGCTTCCACGTGAACGGGGTTGGACTCACGCTACTTACTGCGCTGCCTCAAAACTTATGCCGATAATGGGGTTATTAAACAATTATTTACCTGAGAAACTGTGACTACAGCCATTTAAATTCTGAATCATCTGACACGTACAAGATATGCAGCTGACAAATGGGGACATTTGGTCTGTTAATGCTTTTAGTTTTAAAAGTTTTACAAAACAAGCAGAGGGTTA